GATGAAACTTCTTTTGTTGATCTTGTTTTTGACCCTGAACCTCGTTCCGGGTGCATCAAATTTTGCTATACTAACTTCTTGACTAGCGACGCGTCCAAATCCGACTCTACATTTAACGCGCCTCATACATGTGGCGCGACCAAATGTGTGGACAAGGAGCGAAAGAAGAAGCTGGCCAGGGCGGAGAGGGAGCTTTTAGGACGAAAGTGAAAGGAAGTCTGAGAATTGATGGGTCGGAACGGGGTCAACGAGAGCGGTTTTGATAGTCTGAGTTGGTCTTGGGTATGAAATGATAGAGACGGCCTACAGTGTATGTTAAAACGTATGCCTGATATGCCACGAGACCGACCGTCCTTCGCCACAGTGTTTGAGTGCTTCGGGTAAGGAAGAGCTGATGTGGAGACTTCAGAAAGATGTCGTTACCTGTGTCTTTCCAAGTGAGAGAAACATGAGTGGTTCGATTAGTACATGTGTGTATTGCTTAAATCCATCGCATGTCATCATTCTCCCTTCCTAAATTCTAACCGGCAAATAAAATGCAGAACGCCATAAAACCTCGTAAAGACCAATAAAATTCCGAATTCATCAGCTCTTTAAATAAATGGGGAAAGCCTTTCTCTTGTATGCGTAAACTTCGTAAAGGATGCTCCAAGCACTACTCAGTCCTTGTATAAACAGATTTCTGGCGCCATCGAGCTCCATATCGCAGTATCAGGACAGGAAGTGGAATTACTATTAAACAGACAGCTGCCAAAACGAGGAAACCATAACCAAGTCCAAGCGCATCAGTCAGAAGTGGAATGCATAGAGGCAGCAGAGTTCCCATAGAGCAACGAGTGAGGAGCACCACCGTCATAGCAGAAGCGGAGTAGATGCCAAAAGAATCCACGATGTATGAAGACATCGGTATCATGACGCACATCGCTACGAATCCAAGCGATGCAACCACTAGCAAGAGAAGGTAGATCGGCCAGCGAGAGTATGGAATCCACCCATAGAATCCAACAACAAATGGCAGGAGAGAAGCTCCACCTATCATAAAAGGCAGGCGGAATTCTGGACGGGCAGCTCCTCCATTATTTCTCGTAAGTTTGACATAGATGCGGTCTACTGAGAGATTGCACACTATGATTCCCAAAAAGGCACCCGTACCTGGTGTTGTTAGCATAAGAAAGCTACCCAGGAATAAGCAAACTCACTGAAGCTGATGAATACAGAACCGGTCTTGGCGGGCGAAAAGCCGTAGATATCTTTCAAAATACCAGGCAAAGTTGTAGCCAGGATATAGTAGAAAGTGAAAGCGAAGCCACTGTAAAAGGACATAATTTGTAGCACCAGAGAACTGTACATCACCAGGAAAGGCCGTGTGATGGCCGTCCGCAGTTTTGCCCAGGACTGTACCGAGTCTCCATCTTCAGTTTCCCACAAGCACTTCAAAGACTTATCATTAGTCTCTTTCCGTAGCCGAGCTGCTCTACGCTGTAGAATTGTGACTTTGTAAGTTTCTCGGAGAAAAGTACAGAAAAGTATCTCGCACAGGGTGGCTAATCCAGCACATAGCCAAAGGATATTTCTCCAGCCTACCGTCTCAGCTAGTAGTCCACTAATGGTAGGACCAATCGTGCCGCCTACGAGCGGTGCAAGCATGACAAGTGACATGCCAGAACCTCTTGACTCTGAGTTGTAAATGTCGCCGATTATGGCGGGATTGAGGACATTCGAAGCCACAGCAAACCCGGTCAGAAGGCGGGAGAAAATGAAAATGTTGGCTGTGTGACTCAAAGCTCCGAGCACAACTCCAAAAATAAAGATTATGTTGGCAACGTTGAAGACAGGATAACGTCCATAGATTTCGGACAATGGTGCCATCAGAAATGGTCCGGCAGCTTCTCCCAACTCCCAGACGGTGACGAGCAAAATGCGGGCTGTCTTGCTCTCACCGCCACCCAGGTCGAAAACGATCCGATCTGCTACAGGGACTACTCCGATACATGTAAACGAGCTAAAGACCATGTTAGAAGGGGAATGATAATAATTAGTTTATTCTACTTACACCACAAAAGCCATAAAGCTGAGCAACGACACAACCTCCAATTTATAGGCATTTGACCAGTCCAATGGATTCTCACTGTCTCCGTCCGGACTGAAGTCGACTAATTCCTGGTCTCCATTTCTAATTGACTCTGTGCGTGCCTGTCCTAGCAATGGCGCGGTTTCGTCTGTCATGATAATAATGATGTCAAGATAATTCCCCAAAAACAGAAATCTCAAGAGTCGCGCGCAAAAGTGGGGTGGACTATTGGTCTTATGACGAGGAGCTTTTCAATCCTGGCCCCGAAGGAAGCTGAAGTTCAACGAATATGAATTGGATACAACAGATTTTTGGTAGGAGAACAAAGTGACTTTGATATGCGAAAGAACTGACAAATCAAAGACGATTTCTGTCTGGCAAAAGTTCAGGGATGTGTCAGGAAGCTAGATATGGGCCACAGTAGAAAGACGTTAGATTGGCGGGATCCGACGCTACTGACAAAGCTTTAGCCAAGCCCCTGCTCGCTTATGTTGCCCTACCCGAGCCAAGGCCTTCCGAATGTTGATGTAAACATTAAATTAGGGAATTGACATAAGCAGGACTTTCTGAGGGAATTGCATAGATTGCTTCGCTTGGGGTTTCATCAGGCAGTTTATTATGCTATACTGCTTACCTTAGAAAATACTGTACGCTACAGTGGTGTGGGTCCCGTGTCCTCTTCGGCTACTGTTTCCGCTGAAAATTTCGATATTCACGATGGGATCAACCAAATCGCTCCTTACAAATAGCCTAGTACACTATACAGAAGCTACCATCATATCTAGCTGTCCTTTTAACACCGGATGGCCACTCATGAGGTTTCTCGAATAAGGATTTGATGTATATATCGACCAGGGAAGTTCCACAACGCTTGATACTTGAATTTTTTTTAGGAAGGAGGTTTGGATCTATACTTAATGAAACATGTGACAGTGTTTGAGGCCTAGAGTTTTGAGACCTGGGTCTCTTTGTGCCTTTCCCTATCCCTATAGATCGCATCACATCGATATTCCGCCCCAGATGGGCACACTTTGAAAGATCAGAAACGAGATCCAGTAAAGAGTTTCAAAGATACAACACTACGGATCCTAAAGAAATTTTTGAGGGCCGTGGTAAGAAAAAATAGTTTGCCGCAAGTCTCATCCTGATACATTATATAGAGCATGAGGCTGAAGTGATAAAGAGCCTTCGCGAAGCGTCTCTTAGCCAAGAATGAATTATTGAAATAAGGGGCCATTCCTAGACTGGTACCGATTCATCTCGCAGCGAATAGAACAAAGAACCAAATGAGCTGGTGGTGTCTGCTAGTATATTCTCCAACAAGCCCGCTACATGAACGTCAGGCAGCGCAAAAAGCGCCAAGATGAGCTCTCAAGGCAACAAAATATAAGCAGTGTACTTGAGCCTACAACTACTTCGGACCTTTAAGCTTTAATGATCACTGCATGACTTATCCGCACGATCATACATTGCCATCCTTCCATACTACGCTGAATTTCCAAAATCTCACCAATACCGGCAGCAAAATTCGCGAGTCAAGAGAACTTCCCTCAAAGTCGACATGGCAATGAATACCTTCCACCCATTTCGCCGTCTTCCCACCGAGCTGCGCTTCATAATCTTCGGATATGCACTAACAATCTTTCAGCGCATCGTTCATGTCAAAGTGGTTTACTCTTTGAACTTGTTCTCCAACGAAGAAGACATCTGCGATCTCGCATTGTCTTCGGCCTTTTCGACTTCAAATCCAACACTTCTCCATGTCAATCGCGAGACACGAACCGAGCTTTTCAAATCCTACGCGACGCCTTTCAATTCCCAGGCGTTGCCAAAGGTCAAGGACTTGGTATTCAGCTGGGAGCATGATACACTCCTGGTCGAACTAGATAAAACAGAAATATTTCCTCGAAGAAGCCATCCAGCATGGACGAGACAGGTCACGACTCGGTTGTTGGCTCTGGACGATCCATTCGCCAGCTTGTTCAGTGCCGAGGATAGCGAGGAGTCGAGGAAGAGACTGCGCCACCTAGCTGGGGACGGTGAACCACACCAATTTTGGATCCATGGACCAATAGCTCTACCAGCAAAGCGACCACTATTATCCGGCTTCAAAGGGCTGGAGGATTACACCCTTGTCTGCAGAGATGTACGCGAGTTGTCTGGCTCCATGAAATTGCTGAGATGGCGATATACGGGCTGGGAGGAACGTGACACTTCGGCAGACGAGCTCGGTCTGAAGACGGTATTCCCGGCATTGTTAGTACGTTGCGTAAAGTTGGTTCGGGAATAGTGGTGACTACTAAGTGGTAGTGTTTTGGGATTACTTGCGAGCTTTTCATTTGACCATTCGTTTTCGATGCTTTCTCTATCCTGGCAAAGGTGCTAAGGAGGATCATGGACCTGGGTCTGCAGCATATTGTGAGCTTGACGGGTTGCTGTCTAGCAATCTAGTCACGGTCACTCTGACGACGTTGTGGTCTGTCCTCCGAGCCCTGGTCCCTAGCTGTCTACATGAGAAAATGGAAGCACAGTCCCGGACCCCCCGTAGCACTACTCCTGTGACCTCCGTGTGATGCTCCAAAAACTTTCACATCAGCGCTCGTGCTTGGATCCAGTAGGCAAGAATTTTGCAGTCGGCGAGCAAGAGCTCACAATAGAGTAATGAAATATCTAGACGAAGCATTCCAGCCGAATGAATTTGGGAAAAAAAAGCTCTTTGGCCTCCGAGATCGTTCTATTGTATAACTGTTAAGCGAGAAGAGGCTGGCTGGCTGCAGATCACCTTACTTTCAGACTAGATGACAAAAGTAAAGACATGAAAGATGTGAAAAAGGAACAAAACATACGGACACTCAAGTGATATATATATATATACATACCAGTAGCAGTTACGTAGCCTGCAAAAAATCCAGACAAAAACCAAAAAATTTGGACGATCAGGGAATCGAACCCTGGACCACCTCTAGTTAGAACGGTTTTATTTATTCTATGCTCTGTTTGGAATTAGTAGTTGTCCTTGCTAAGACGAGGAAGAGGAGACGTACAAAGAGGTATTATACCACTAAACCAATCGCCCCGTTCTCATTGGATGAGCTGTTATGTTCGGTGGTCATTATTTGAATACATATATCTTTTGAACATTTCTGATAATGCATGTGTGGAGTCTTGGCTTGATCCGGGCACATGGGCTGCAGAGATACTGGTATGCGAATGGGCTAGTACGATCACGCAGCCTTGTTATTGGACAAATAATAGATCTAATGAGACATGTATCCTTCCTTCTTTCCAATTGTGCTTCGGAGTGGGTCTTAGGGCTAGCTGTAGCTGTGGGACGTAGCAGGGGACAACATAACATGACTAAGCAGATCCAAGAAAAACACATTCTTCATTGGTTCTTCAGATCGATGAAAAGATGTATCTCTAAGAAGCGAAGAATCTAATGGTGTTTACCTGCGATAGCTAGACGAGGGTGATGCTTTTGGTATCTCGTTGGGTCACGATGTATTTACGGTATCATCCCTGGGAAGCGAAGCGAGGTAACCACAAAGACGTCTCCATTACTTCAAAATCAGGAGGTTCCGGGGAACTGCAAAAGCCTTCAGATATGCTCACAAAGTCATAGTATAGTTCCAGATCGTTTTTAGTGGCCAAAAATAATCGATGTCGACGAGGGTTTTGAGCCTAGTTTCGTGGTTCAGAACTGTGCCCCCGAAAAGTTGTAAACTTGGTGCATCTCATCCCCAGGCTGGCACCCAAGTTTTCACTAACCCCAAACATCTATCATACGATATAATTATAAACTCCTTACTATTGATATGAAACTCCTAAAGAGGTCATGGGGAATCGCCAACTTGGAAACATAAAGTTGTTTTTATGGACGCCTTTACTGTCTGAGCTGCTCAATAAAAGCCGCAGATTTTAGGCTTCACCCATTTTAGAGGCGCGCAAGATTTCCGATGGCTTCATGATCTCAGATTACATGGACTGCCATGAGATAAAAGCTGAGAATAAAAGTTGCCCCGTAATCCATGGTGGGAGTGTTCATGAGGAGTTTATGCCCGTGCTAGGTGTCGACCTTGATTTGAACATGAAGCTGAGCTTGACACGAAAGACATCTCATACGGAATGGGAGTACCAGATGTGTTTTGTAATTACATTTACTCATGCGAATGCACATCTCTCACTGTAAGTCATACCCTGGTATGCAGTTTTGCACCCAAAGATATTCCTTATGTTCATCTCCCTCAAGTCCAATATCCAGATCACTTCACGCAACCGCTGAAAAGTCCCCAGACTTGCCACTCACTCTTAAAAACATATTGCAAGCCTCCACAAATAAAGAGTGGTTTATCATCCGGGCTATATCTACCTCCGAAAAAGCATCTTATCGCTAGGCGAGAAGAGCGTTGCCTCCTGCTTAGATAGATTTATGACCGACCCAAGCGGAGGTAGAGGCGAGACAGTCAGAAACTTTAGAAATGTGTCTCATCCCTCTACAGTGTGCGAAATGATTAGATTAGATTAGATTATGACCTCCTAATTAAATCTAATCAAAGGTAATTTGAACCTAATCAAATCTAATCAAATTATAATCGATTATAATTGATTATAATTAATTAAAGCACGTGATCTAGAGCTAGGCTAAAAGGAGCTTAGATACTCGCTTAGGTTCCCTTTCTAGGCTTAGGCTCCCGCCTCGCTTCTTAGCCTAGATTCGCTTTAAAGCGAGATTCTAGCAGTAGGTAATCCAAATATAGAAATAACTAGATTTTACTAGAATTAACTATTATATACCTTATTTCTTTATTAATTATATAAATACCTTTGATTAGTAAGATATACTTTATTTTATTTATCTTTATATAGCTTATATAGCTAAATATATAAGTATAATCAAGCCTAATCTAATCCTAATCATTAATTATAATCTAATCTAATCTAATCAAAGGTCTAATTAACCTAATTAAATCTAATCTAATTATAATCGATTATAATCGATTATAATTGATTAGGTTGATTATTTTTTCTCACACTGTCCCTCTAAGTCATGTAAAAACATTCTCTCCGATGGAACTCAGTTAGCGAGTAAGCTGGACCTATAACATGGCCTATGGAAATATGTAGACCAATTCAAACAAAATCAACTTCGTCACTTCGTCATCACCTTAAAACCCTTCGAAAAAGTACTATGCAGCTATTTAATCCTCTCATTACATCACCTCGGTCCTGCAGCCCAACAATCACCCACTTCCTGGCATATCCTTCACGCTTCCCCAAGGTTCAAGACAAAGAGGTAGATAGTCCCAACATCGTGAAACACTGGTAATGAGAAATAGGTATCTTCCTCCAAACTTGGGAGGTGGGAGCGAGGTATTCATACATTTTAAAAAGTAAGTGATAGATGAAGCCGTGGCCACGCTTGAGCTTATTTCAACACCATACTAAACTCCAAGCCCAAAAGAAAATCCCAAGCACCCCACGAATAAAATTACAGCTGAGGGAGTAAAAACATAAATGTAAAATTTTAGGACCGGAACGAAGCATCCCAATCGAAGCGCGCTTCAGCAGGGGTTAGTAAGAACCGATGCAAGGATTCCACTTCACAATAACGACATCCCCAAGTGAAGCAATGCCGGCGTACCCTGGTCCAGAGTATCCTGCTGATGAAGATGCTTCTATTCGCAGCAGAGCACGGTCATGAAATAGAATACAATCATGGACACGGAACGAAATGACCGACTTGTCAACTCGCAGCTCTGAGAAAACCTTTCCACCAAACTAGAGAGAGAGAGAAAGACGAGGAATAGATGAAAACCTGCTGGTGGAAGATTGATTGCAGGTGTCTATATTTTCGCTGACGTCCTTCAACATTATCGAATCGCAATCTCCAAGTTGCACCACTGTGCCGTTTGATGCTCTCGATGGGTTGTCTTCTTAGGTTCGAAAGCTCCCGTACGGTTAATGGGGATTAGAAGGAGGACCAGCTTCATTTACAGCCTCATGACCGTCTTCAAGCTGCTGGAATAGCAAACGTGGATCCATTCTACCCTCTCGTGCAGGACTGAGAGAGAAGCCAGTTATGAGGACGCCCATAAATAAAATCTCTTCTTGATCTCATGTTCGAAACCTTACACCGAAGGGAGCCAAGCAATGTAGACGGTTTTTAATTAATAAAAGAAAACATGAGAGCTCTAAAGGTAAAGCAGAGATGATGCAGAGAAAACTGGGGATGTAAAGAGAGATCTCTAGAATGAGTTTTTGGAGCGCAGTGCTCCGGTAGATATGTCGAATCGAATCTTCCCAGAGACACAGAGTGGAATAGATGTACGCTGAACGCCTTTCGTTCACGTGCTCACTATCAGATCAGATCAGATCAGTCCAAGTGTGCTTTACCTTCGCCAAGTGAATCTCCAAAGAGCCTCCCCATCTTTTTCCGCTGGTTGACTGGAAGTGGAATGGAGTGGAGTGATGAGTGTCGTGCTACTGTACCTCAGAGACAGTACGAATATTGAACGATAGCAAGGATGGTCCCATGACTTCCAAGCATGGTACTGTAAGTAGATACGAGTTTAACCCTTAGCAGGTATGCAATTAGTTCGTTACCTCGAAGCACCCGATCTTTTCCTTGGGAGAAACGACTTCTTTGATGACTCAACGTGCCTAGACGACTTCACTCTCTTCTTTGCTTGGAATTGAAGTTCGACTCTGCCAGATGGGTTACATCAAAAAGAATTCTAGCGAACATGGTAATTCTAGCAGAACCTCCTGCGGTGCTCTACGAATCGCAAGACTAAACCAGACAGGAGGATAGATAAATCGGGAAAATCGAGATACTCGCAGCTCGCTTGGGCAGAGCAAGACAACAATAATAACACCAAATCTATTGATGTGAAAATTCTACTCCGCAACTCAAGCCTGGCATCATCTATCTACATACGCAGCCCAAGCTTTTGATTGACCCTCCAGTGCTGCAGACCTCCTAACGAGTAGTCGATTTTCTCGAAAAGGAAGGAATCCCGAGATTATTCCCCAACACCCATCTGTCGAGGACAGGCCGCGAAAAGAAAAGGCTTCGAGCGGTTGCTGTACAATTTGAGGTAGGTCATCACTTGAGCACGCTTAGCATTTATTCTACAATGGATATATAAAGGCCCAGCTCATATCTCTATACCAGGCTAACTGGAATGGCTACCTCATAAGCCTCATAACCCAAGTAGATAATCACAATTCTTCAGAGACTGAGAAGTTGGATCTCGGGCCGAAGATAGGGCGGGCTTCATTCTGAGATGAGTCATGACGGTATGGCGATCAGACACGCCGTTGATGATGTCTCAAAACATCATCAGCTCTGGCCCGGCTTTTTCTGATCTGATCTGACAAGTGACAAACCTCGTATTCGTGATTGCGATATTGCCACTGTGACTCGACGGTCACTAGCACGGAGTTGAATGAAAGCGCTCCGGCCTCTGCCGCTCTATATTGTGTTGGAGCCTGAGCGGGTTTCGAAGTGGCGAGTGGTTTATCTGGGGCTCAATGATAAATTTAGAACTCACTTCTGAGGTCTGCAGGAGAAAGGGTGCACGTAGCCTCTATTTGCTCCTATGAAAGTGGCTCACTGCTTTAGAGGTTACGAGGTATTTCGAGTAGATTTCTATGAGACCGTCGTATCATGATGATTGCCACTGGAGGGGGTCTTTGCCTGAAGCCTGTAGTAAGTATTTCTCAGACGGACCTCGGGTGAGCTCACAGGTGAAGTAGATGACTGATAGATCCCAGCTCATCGGTCCGTATTTATCTGACGAGTCACGATGAATAGTAGAAGGATACTGAGTAGATCCGCGCCTAGAGGTCATGTCAGATGCGAATTCATGGTCAAAGATTGCCTGACACCTTGAGTAGGAAGCTTCAGGCTGAGCCTCGTCGTATTCGTGTTCGAAGATTCCCTTCACGATGATGCATAATGCAATCTCGATTTCGCCTGCCCGGCTGGAAAGCAGCACCCCTTTGACCGCTCTTCGACTTCGAGTAGGTGTAGAGGAGGCGACAGAATCGTGGCAGCCTGAAAAGACCACTGAA